AACGCACAGCCGACTGGTTCTTGGTACCCTCAGAGGTGCGCAATGACCACCACACTCGATTTCCCGTGTTCGTCGCCCCACAGAGAAAGCCTGTGACCATTAGCAGTCACTCCCCCAGCCAGGGCTGGGCAAACGCTAATCTACTTTCTGCCTCTGAAGAGCTGCCTACTCTGGGCGTGTCAAAGCACGAGACAGAACCCCTTCGGCTCTTACATGTAACAGCGCAGCGGGCGGTACGTAGACACCAGAACATACAAGCGCAGGTCAAACTTCCTCCCGCCAATGAGCAGCGGGTTGTTAATGTAGAGAGAGATCACGTAGGCTTCCTTAGTAGACTGCGTCACAAACCTAAACACATCAGAGAAGGTCAAAGTTAGATGGCCAAGACCAAAGGTTGGTAACAAGCCCTCTGCCTCTCATGAAGTGAGAGGCCGGTGTGTCGGGGAGAAATCGGGGGTCAGGTGGGTCCATGGAGAAGCCCCCGAGCTGTGCCCCTGCCCCGGAGGACAGTGCCAGTAGTCTCTGGGAACCCATCAGGGACTGACCCACGTGGGGGTCAGCAGTGTGCACTCAGACTTAAGTGCTCTGCATGAGGAAAAGGTGACCCTGTCACTCCTAGGAACCCTGCCAGTGAGCCACCAGCCCTCCAGGACAGACTCACAGTCCAGCATCTCTGAGCGGCTCAGGACCCTCCGACGCAGGGTGAGCCCCAGACAAAGCCCCCTGGCCTGGTATCCTGAGTTCCAGGGAGACCTCAAACCCCGGCAGAGAGCTGAGCTGACACCGCCTAGCGCCACCCCTGCCACTGATCGCACACACTCCCCTGTGCCTCGCACGGATTCACCTGTTCCATCCCCATCTTGCCCCCGTGAGGGTGGTGCTATTGGCATCCCCCATTTACCCGGATGAAGCATGTTAAAAGTCTACCGAAACAAAAGGTACTCAGACAGTAAGTGTAGACAGGGATTCAAACCTACATACCCTGGGCCCAGATCTTAAGCAGATGCTTCACTGCCTCAGAAATACCAGGACTGAGCGGGTCTCACAGAAACTTCCAGAACAAAGAGCGGCCCACAAGGGTCCCCGCTCCTGGGACCATATGCTGGTTCACACACCACTTTTCTTTGCAACTTGCCTCAGGTGGGATCCTATAATCAATCACACGACTGCAGCCACAGAACCCTGCCGTGGTGCCACGTGGCAAATGCCATACACTACAAAAGCAAGCAAGGGTCCCCAGCCCCCGGCCAAGACTGACAGGTGGCCTGGAACTCCTAACTCGGAAGCCCCCGGGATGGGCGGGCCATGCACTCACGAAGAAGTCTTGCTGTCCCGGGACCACTTTTTGATCTGTGAGAGCTTGTTGATCAGAAAGATGCCCTTCCCCTGGGCTTTGCCACAAGGTTTCATGATCCAGGTGCTGGAGGGGCTCTTCCTGAACTCCTCCACGAACAGGTTGTAGTCAGCGGGCAGCATGTAGGTGACCGGAACAAAGTCTGAAAGGGGAAACGGAGAGGACAGCAGTGGGTGAGCCAGGCCAACGTGGCCACGGGCAGGAAAACATGGCCACTGCTTTTTCTGAGGCTGCTTCACGCCACCCCCCTCCCCAAGCCAGTATCGAAAGGACAAGCCCCTCTGCCATTCAATTCTTGTACGATAACCTTATCACCTGTGTGCTAAGCACTTCGCAAACCTTTAATCCCCACGGCACCCTGTGGGCTAGGTCCTGTTATTATCCCCATTTATCAGATGAGGAAACTGAGGCCCCGAGAGATTGGTTATCTAATTTTCCCGGGTATGTAGAGGGATTCTGAAACTATCCGACAGTCCAGCTTCTACCACCAGACCGGATCAGGGACACACTTCTCCCTGGGAACCACCAGATGCAGTGATGAGCCTGCATGACAAAATGCAGCTTGCAGTTCAGGACGAGCACTGAGCTCTGAGTACTGAGGACGCGCTCTTCCTCACATGCACCATGTTCCCACGGCGCTCCCAGAAACTCAGATCCAAACGTGAGCCCCCGCCATGCCATTCTGGAGACACGTGGAATGAAAAAGAGGTGCCCAGCCCAGCCAGCACAAGCATGTCACCATCTCAGTACCTGGTGTCACTAGTGAACTCAGGGATGTGTTTGAAACATGGGGCCAGAAAGACACAAACCCAGATAGAGGTATTTCCCATTTTCGTCTTTTTCTGCTAGAGGACTCCCCTCCTTCTCCAGCTCCTTCCTGTATCTTTTAATATTCTTCACCATCAGGTCCTTCCGGGTCAGTTCGTAGTGGTTTGGAAAATGGTTGACTATTTGATCGTCTGAGAGCCGATAGCCAGTCTCGACACTAAAAACGTTTCGGATGGTTTGCACACTCATCCTAAAAGGGAAGCACAGAAGGGGCATGCAGAGCAAAAGCTCAGAGCAGGTCCACGTGGTGGCAGTTCTCTCAAAAGCTGGTGACCGGAGGGGCTTACCCATTTCCCCCAACCCCCAGCACCCGGGCCAGGAGATGCCTGGCCGAGTACGGCACAGGGCGGTGTCCAGTGACCAGCTGGGTTCTGGTCTCTGGCCAGTTCTGAGTCTCTACAGTGGATGGTTTCACTCCCCAACACAGAGTATATGCTCCATAAATGCTTATCGATTAAGGGTACCACTGATTGTGGATAACAAGCCAATGAAAGAGCCTCCTCCAGACTCTGAAATCGGGAAAATCATGTACACAATATCTTCACCCAAAGTCAAGGACAGGGACCGCTCTAAATCAAAATCACAGGGTGATTTGAGGGCCCTGGGTCAGTACTTCATATTCTTGCAGAGACCTCTGATGGGCTAGCACTCAAGTGAAATGAGGAAGGGTGAAAGCATAAGGGGCTCCTTCTAGTCCTCCAAGAAAGCCAGTCCCCCTGCCACCCCCACCCCCCGCCCTCCTAGCCCACAGAGAAGCAGGGAGGGAGAGGAAGGACAGGACTGGCCCTCACGAGGGAGCCACGGCCACAGGCGAGGCGGGCTGTCTGTGGCTTCTCGCTCCTGGCCCCGATCCACGCCATCCACCCCGGAGGGCCTCGAGCACCCAAAGGGTTTCTTTTGATTCTATGGTCACTGGAATAATGGGAGTTTTAAAATGTTTTATTATGAAAGAGCTCGACCACGCACAAAAGCAGAGAGAAAAGTGCACAAGAGCCCCATTACTGGCGTTGGCGGCTGTGGCCAGAGGCTAGAATGGTTTTGATCATAGCCCGCCCACACCCCACAGCACCGGCTTATTTGGGAGCGATTTCCAGATACAACGTCCCACCCAAAATATTCCTATCAGAATCTCTAATCGCTAAGGACTCTTTTTTATGTTATACAATATCCTACTTTATATTATCACAACTAAAAAAAAAGTAGTCATTTCTGGGGCGCCTGGGTGGCTCAGTTGGTTAAGCGACTGCCTTCGACTCAGGTCATGATCCTGGAGTCCCGGGATCGAGTCCCACATCAGGCTCCCTGCTCAGCGGGGAGTCTGCTTCTCCCTCTGACCCACCCCCTCCTCATGTGCTCTCTCTCTTTCATTCTCTGTCTTTCAAATAAATAAATAAAATCTTTAAAAAAAATTTTTTTTCTAAAAAAAAAAGTAGTCATTTCTGAGTATCATAAAAATTAATCCATGCTCACATTTCCCAAGTTGTCTGACAAATTTTTTTTTTTTAAGATTTTATTTATTTGACAGAGAGACACGTAGCAAGAGAGGGAACACAAGCAGGGGGAGTGGGAGAGGGAGAAGCAGGCTCTCCACTGAGCAGAGAACCCGACGCGGGGCTCGATTCCAGGACCCCGAGATCAAGACCTGAGCCGAAGGCAGACGCTTAATGACTGAGCCACCCAGGCGCCCCTGATAAATATTTTTTACAGCTTGTGCAAATAAAGGCCAGACCTTCTGATGCGCTGTTCTCTCTCCCATGGCTCTTTCAATCTGTATTTTTCCCTCCTTTTATTTCTATGTTATTTATTTGTTGAAGATGCTGGGTCACCCACCCTCCAGGTCCTCCAGGGGTCCTCACATGTTCCTTACTTAGCACGGCTACGCTGGCGCCCCCTACCCACCCTCCCTCCACATGCTGCCAGTAAATCAGGAGTCAGACCACAAGGCCTAGGAGCAGCAGGTCGATTTTGGGCCACATCTACATTTGGACCAGCCACATTTAAGTGCTCATCAGCCCTGTGGTCAGTGGCTCTCGTACTGGGCAGGCCTAGACTCCTATGTCATTAATGGAGGCAAAATGGGTGTATTTCTACATTTTCATTTCTCCTTCATGTATTAGCAGGAGTATCTCTACAAGGAGAAGTTTCCCTTCATCAACAATTTGGATACCCAAAACATAGTTCATACAGGAAAGACTAATGAAATGCTTGATTTTTTCCCTTTATTTATCAGGTTTTAAAATAATGAGCTGGGGGCGCCTGGGTGGCTCAGTCGGTTCAGCGACTGCCTTCGGCTCAGGTCATGATCCTGGAGTCCCGGGATCGAGTCCCGCATCAGGCTCCCTGCTCGGCGGGGAGTCTGCTTCTCCCTCTGACCCTCCCCCCTCTCATGCGCGCTCTCTCTCTGTCTCTCATTCTCTCTCTCAAATAAATAAATAAAATCTTTAAAAAAAATAAAAAATAAAATAAAATAAAATAATGAGCTGGTTCCCTACCATCATCAGGTCATGTGATGAGATATATTCCGGGTATCTAGTACTGCAAAACAAATTGCCCCATGTTAGCAACTTCAGACAACCACCACTAAATCACATCCCATGGTTTTGCGGATCAAGACTGGGGCCGGGGCTCAGGGGAGCATGCTTCTGCTCCATGTGACACTGACTGAGGCCACTTGGGAGTATTCAGTGTATGATCCAATCTGGAGGGTCCAAGAAGGCTTCGTTCACGTCTGGCACCTTGGTGGGCATGGCTGGAAGGCCAGGCCTGGCTGCAGCTGCCACACACAACCCCTATACACGGCTCCTCCAGCAAGACAGTCCCAGTAGTCAGGCTTCTCACATGGCGGCCTGGGGCTCCCACAGAGGGTTCCCATAAAAGAAGGGGAAGCTGCTAGTTTTTTAAGGTCTGGGGCCAGACACGTCTCACTTTGGCTTCGCTCTGGCCAAAAATGTGGCAGAAGCGATGGTGTGCCACTTGGAGACTCGCCCTGAAGGGCCTGCAGAGCTTCTGCCCTCCCTCCTGGACCCTCGCCACTGCAGGAGGGCGAGCCCAAGCTCGCTGGCCGGAGGGATGGGGAGAGCTTTGTGGAGAGAAGCCGCTGTGGTCCTAGCCAAGGGCACCCAAGAGCAGAGAAGCCCCTGCTGACCCCCCTAGGTGACAGCAGATGCACGGGTGAGCCCAGGCAGGATCAGCTAAGTCCTGCTGATCTAAAAGTACCACCGAGCCAAACCTAAAAACGCATGTGCTATAAAAATAGTTGTTTCAAGGGGTGCCTGGGTGGCTCAGTTGGTTAAGTGTCTGCCTTTGGTTCGGGTCGTGATCCCAAGGTCCTGGAATCGAGCCCCACATCGGGCTCACGGCTCAGCGGGGAGCCTGCTTCTCCCTCTCCCTCTGCCCCTCCCCTGGCTCATGCTCTCTCTCTCTCAAATAAATAAGTCTTTAAAAAAGAGAAAGAAAGAAAGAAAAGAAAAAGAAAATGGTTGTTTCGAGCCCAGGGTTTTGTGGTGTCTGTTACATGCCATCAGTTTGGCCATCAGATAGCTAATACACCCACACTAAGATAGCAATGGCTTTCGTGTTTCACATTGCTCCTACTTCCTGCCCGTAGGCAAGCTGAGAGCAGAACACAAATACAGTTTCATAATATGTTTTTCTTTATATTTATTCTTATACAATTTTCCAAATTGCTTTAGAACTGTCACAGTTGTTTTAATGGCTATACCATAATCCACCCAGTTAACATGGGTACCTTTCCCTATAACCATTTAATATTTAGTTGTTGCCAGTATTTTTACCCTAACCAATTGTTAAGACTTGATGGGATGCTTAGTGCTTAAAACAGGAGCTCTGAAGAGATCAAATATCCAAAGTTATACAGTTCCACTCTTTACTCTCTCTCTCTCGTTAAGACTAGCTCCAAAGACGAACCATTAGAGACAATGGACTCTGAAAAACAAACTGAGGGTTCTAGAGGGGAGGGGGGTGGGGGATGGGTTAGCCTGGTGATGGGTATTAAAGAGGGCACATTCTGCGTGGAGCACTGGGTGTTATGCACAAACAATGAATCATGGAACACTGCATCAAAAACTAATGATGTAATGTATGGTGGTTAACATAACAATAAAAAATTATTAAAAAAAAAAAAAAAAAAAAGACTAGCTCCAAAATGCTTCTTATGTGGCATGAAGAAGGGAGGCGCTCTGCACCCTCCCAAGCATTGATTAATCAGAGAAGCCAAAAGGACTGAGGGCTGGCTAAGTCCATGGCACAGAGCCGTGGGACACAAAGCAGTAAGTACAAAACACTCTTTTTTTTTTTTTAATGACATTTCAAGATTTTATTTATTTGAGAGAGAGAGAGCGCACCTGAGCGAGCACGAGTGGGGGAAGGGCAGAGGGACAAGCAGACTCCCCGCTGAGCTGGGAGCCCAACCCCGGGCTCGATCCCAGGACCCCAAGATCATGACCTGAGCCGAAGGCAGACGCTTCACCGACTGAGCCACCCAGGCGCCCTGATAAAACACTTATTCAGCCTTTCTTTCAGAGCTCCTATGGAAGCAGAGCTCTGGCTGTATTATTTTATTCTACCTTAGAGAAGAATATAAATGTGATGCCAAACCACACACGGGTGCTGCATTTCTCCATGAATGCTTTCTGCCAGCATTACATGCTCCTTAAGAGAAATTAGGTTTTGGTTTAAAGCACGGGTACCTTAAACTGCTACAGGAGCAAAGAAAGGGTCATCCCTCTAATCACTGCTGGAGATGGAAGCTGGGTGCCAGTCTACTCTGCGTCGGGGCCAACTCCAGGCTCTGGGATGCTGGAGTAAGCCAGACAAGGTCCTCACTGTCATGAGGCTCGCAGTCACACGTAATGAGGGCACAGGCGGGGAAATCACAAATCATGGCACGTAGCATTCGCTGCATGACAGCTGAGAAAGCAGGCTGGGCGTCAGGAGAGATACGGCGGCCTCTGGCGCAGGCAGCTCGTGCACTGGGGCCTGAAGACAGCGCCGGCACACGCTTACGGAGCACCCATCACATGCCACGCTCTGTGCTTTACTGACTCATTCAAACTTCAAACAACCGTATTTGCAGAGAAAGGTCAAGTCCTTTGCTAATGGCCACACAGACAGCAGTGGGAGAGCCAGGCTGGGAAGCCAGGCATGACCTGGCTCCGGGGTCTGCACATCTAGCCGCCAGATGCACTGCACTTCTCAAGCCTGGGCTGAGGGGGCAGAAAGCACAGGCTTCACAAAGTTGCAGAAGCAAGAATGTCTTAGAAGGTCAACAGGGGAAAAAGTGCCGACCGCTGCACTGGGGCGTGAAAGAGAAGGAAGTGGCTGGAAAGAGGCCGAGTAACATCTCTCAAGGCAGCAGCGGAGAGCAGGTCTCAGGGAGGGCGGATGCATAGGGTAAAAAAGCCTCCAGGCACGCCTGGATGGCTCAGTCAGTTAAGCGTCTGCCTTCAGCTCAGGTCATGATCTCGGGGTCCTGGAATCGAGTTCCACACTGGGCTCCTTGCTCAGCGGGAGCCTGCTTCTCCCTCTGCCTGCCGCTCCCCCTGCTTGTGCTCTCTGACAAAAAAATAAAATCTTAAAAGGAAAAAAAAAAAAGCCTCCAAAGACCCACCAGCTCTCCCTCCCTCAAAGATTCACCCAATGCTCCGGGCGCAGGAACTGAAGAGGGTTGGGGATGGCAGAGGCAACCATGGGAGGCTGTGTTTTGGCATATAACACTGCCAGAGGGTGGAGGCCGCCCTGAGGCAGGGTGCAGCCCAGGCCTGGACAAAGGAGGACACAGGACCTCACCCCATGAAGAGGGGGGAGGCAGGGCGGGGGCAGGAGTCTAGGACAACCCCCCGTGTTTCCAGTTGGGTCAAGCACCACCAGGGACTCAGTGCCGAGCCCTGCCTCCCTGTTCCTCGTGTCACTCACTTTTCAGCTGTTGTTTTTTTTTTTCTTTTTTTTAAAGGTCTCTTTATTTAGGTTTTTAAAGATTTTATTTATTTATTTGAGAGAGAGAGAATGAGAGATAGAGAGCACGAGAGGGAAGAGAGTCAGAGGGAGAAGCAGACTCCCTGCTGAGCAGGGAGCCCGATGTGGGACTCGATCCCGGGACTCCAGGATCATGACCTGAGCCGAAGGCAGTCGCTTAACCAACTGAGCCACCCAGGCGCCCTCAGCTGTTGTTAACCAGTCCCACTGGCACCCGAGGAAGCGAAGGGAGGCACAGATCCCGCTCCATGGCCCCCTTCCCCGGCGCTGGGCAAAGGTATTGCCTGAGAACGCCAGCCGGAGGGGCTCTGGCTTCTCACCCGAACCCTGGCTGTCTGAGCCATGCCAGCTTGTGCGGAAACGTCCCAGGACTTCTGATGCCAGGCTGATAAACGGGAGTGTGGGTGGGAACACTCCACAACGTGGACAAACAAAGGGCTTTCTCGTCGTGTGCTCCTGAGGAGCCTTGGGGTGGAAGATGTGCAATGGGAGGCGTCCCTCTCAAACGCAGCCTGCACCTGGGCTACCAGCTTTCCCAAAACTGACAAGCAGGCTTCGGGAAAAACAATCAAATCCTGCTTTTTCCACTTACCAGTAAAAGTTCCAATCTTCATTTTCCGTCACTTGGATCCATCCTCTCTTTTCAAAGTTATTTATCAGCACTGACTTCTCGATATCAGTGACCCATTTCACTTTTCCTGCCATAATCCTGGAAGAGGTCAACTTGTTAGAGCTTGGAAATGTCAACAGCAGGACACTTCCCCTTGCATATCCCAAGATCCACCTGCCTGGGCCGTGGTTCTCAGCCATCTGGCTGAGATACCTGGCCGTGTCATCTGTTGTCACAGCTGGGGGTGGGGATGCCTCCAGCATCTAGTGAGTAGAGGCCACGATGCTGCCCAGCACCCTACAGCGTACGGGATGCCCCCCCGCCCACAGCAAGTCACCCAGGCCAAAATGTCAACTGTGCCAAGACTAAGAAATCCTGGCCTACCGGGGGGAAGGCGGCAGTCAAACAGTCACCACCCGATGTGCATCGCCATTGTGACAGGAGCCACGAGGCAGAGGCAGTCCCTGGGCTGTGAGAGCCGAGGCCAGAGGTGGCCTACGCAGGGTAGCTGGGGAAGGCCGCCCTCAGCAGGGGGCCCTGGAGCTGGCTCCCGAAGGATGGGTGGGAGCCTATCCCAACATGAGCACGCTCATTCCCATCCAGTGCCGCTACCTCCCTGCTTCCTCCTCTGCCCTGCTCCAGGTCACTCTCTGTAAGTGCAGGTGACCTTTAAGTGTTTATCTGACCACATCACTCCCGTTTACTAGCCTCCGTGGCTCCCCAGTGCACTTAAGATACACAGACCCCTGGCCCTCACCTGCTTCTCCTCCACCTGCTGTGTTCTCGCCACACTGGACTTCTCTGCCCACACTCCGCCTCAGGGCCTTGGCACATGCTGGGTGGGTGTCTGTGCCTGTGGCACCCCCCTCCCTCAAGGCCTGGCAAAGCGGCTGCCCACTCATCCGCCAGCATTAGGGAACGTTACTTCCTCCACAGAGCCTCCCTGACTCCAGACCCGGTACACAGCCGTTCGGTACTCCTGCACCCCTGCCCCTGCCAGAGGCAGGGAGCTGGCTTTCTTCTTCGCTGCTTTGGGCCCAGGGCCTAGCACTGCGCCCGGCATGTGGTAGATGCTCCATTCAGACTGACTGACTAGGGCCCCAGGCCTGTCAGCACCACTGTGTGACTTAGAGAAAGTTAAAGATGGTGACCCAGGTTTGCCTTGCCTCGGGAGAGGGAGAGAGAAGGCACTCCCATGGAGCTTTCACACAAAATCAGCCCACTGCCTCCTCACCCTGCCCAGCACTGGCAGTGTCGCAGAGGTGGGACTTGAGTTTGAGGCCCAGTTCCAAAACTCACGAGCTGTGTGACTCTGGACAAGTTACTTAACCTCTCTGAACTTCTGTTTCCTTATTTGTAACAACAGTATCTACCCATCTCACTGGGTTAAATGAGGATTAAATGAGTGAACAGTGAGAACAGTGTCTGGCACGTAGAAAGCACTCAAGAAATATTTGGTATTACTGTTGCAATCACCCCCCCTTTATGGATTTGGAAGCTGAGGCTCAAAGGTTAAGAGCCCCTGTAAGAATCAGACTGGGGGTGCCTGGGTGGCTCAGTCATTAAGCGTCTGCCTTCGGCTCAGGTCATGATCCCAGGGTCCTGGGATCGAGCCCCACATTGGGCTCTCTGCTCAGTGGGAAGCCTGCTTCTCCCTCTCCCACTCCCCCTGCTTGTGTTACCTCTCTGGCTGTGTCTCTCTCTGTCAAATAAATAAATAAAATCTTAAAAAAAAAAAAAAAAAAGGGCGCCTGGGTGGCTCAGTTGGTTAAGCGACAGCCTTCGGCTCAGGTCATGGTCCTGGAGTCCCGGGATCGAGTCCCGCATCGGGCTCCCTGCTCAGCAGGGAGTCTGCTTCTCCCTCTGACCCTCTTCCCTCTCGTGCTCTCTATCTCTCATTCTCTCTCTCTCTCAAATAAATAAAAAATCTTTAAAAAAAAAAAAAGAATCAGACTGAAGGGAGTCATGGAGCCCTGATTTGAGCCAGGGTGACCCTACTCTGAAGTGCCACCTCTTTTCACACAGTCCACTGCCTCCCTCTGAACCTGGCCTTCATCAGGGTGATGACTGTGCCCACAGGGTCAATCAAGGTAAGGAATACACAGAATCGCTCTCTGCAAAACGAGAAGTTGTCCTGTAACAATATGAGGCTGTTAACGTGGAAAGTCAGCAGCTGCCTCACAGAAATGCTGGAAGAAGCATCACAGGAGCAGAATCCCCACGCGCTGTCACCCCATAACCCCCTCACCGAGCTAACCCCAGCCAGTGTCCAAACCCACCGCGGAGCCCCAGCGAGTTCACCGTTTCTCTACCTGACTTCAGGCCCCACAGCCCAGCAGCCCTGCCCAATCCTGCTCCAACTCTGCCCCCTAGAGTCCAACTGCAGACTCGGGTATTTTGGGGGAGAACCACCCCCCAGGCAGGCAATGTCCACACCACCACCATCACCCCCCACACCCCCTCCCCGGCTGAAATCCCACATCTCAGTGCACGGCCACCTGGCATAGATGCTGAGCCACCTGGGGTGACCCAGCAAGGGCACTAATGGGGCCATGCTTTAACAGTCAGAAAATGCTTCCCGGGTATGATCCCTGAACCCAATAAGGCAGAGAGGGCAGAAACTCTCATCCTCACTTTATGGAGCACGACATGGAGCCTCCGAGGTGAGGTTTTCTTGCTGCCCCCCCACCCCCACTTCCGCCATCTGGGACCATGGGCGCTAAGAAAACCAACCTCTCAAGCTGGACCCACCATAGGTACTTCCGGAGCCAACAGGCACAGCCAATTTCGTTTCAGCTTCAGGGACTCCCGCTTGGGGTTCGTACCTAAAACAAAATTAACACACAGGCAAAATGTACACAACGCAGGACCGAGAGACGGTTTGGGAACACAGCAAAACCGCGTATTCTGCCGAACAAGAGCGTGGCACGAGATGCCTTGAGTTCTTTTCTTATTGTGATAAATACTTCTGAATTCTATTACTTTTTTTTAAAGATTTTATTTATTTATTTGAGAGAGAGAATGAGATAGAGAGAGCATGAGAGAGGGGAGGGTCAGAGGGAGAAGCAGACTCCCTGCTAAGCAGGGAGCCCGATGCGGGACTCGATCCCGGGACTCCAGGATCATGACCTGAGCCGAAGGCAGTCGCTTAACCAACTGAGCCACCCAGGCGCCCTGTATTCTAGTACTTTTTGACTCCCGCTGGACTTTTGGGGCCTCCCTGTCACTCCTTCACTTCACACGCCCCCTGCTTCAGCCGAACACCCCACCTCCTTGCTGTTCTGCACACATGCACAACTGTGGTGCTCTCCCCGCTGCTTCTCATCCAGCTCCGCCAATCACAAAGGTGCCATTCAAAGGCCACCTCCCCCAGGAAGCCATTCTCATCGCCTTTTCCCTCCACTGAACCTTCTGAATACCTCCCCTGCCATCTTTGCCGGCACACAGAACTTCCTACCTTGCGTATTCATTCTTCGTCTACTTTCCTTCTATAAGTGTGCAAGGTGAGGACTCTCTTCATCACCTGCTTCCTTCTCATCCCACCAACTCTTTCTAGATTTAGGTGTGAGCATTTGCAAGAACGCTCACAGTCCATTTGGCCGGCCCCATTATCTCCAGTACTGAGCCCACTGGACACGGGAGGCAAACAATGCCTACTCCTTGCAAAAGTGAGGGAACACACACGGCCCCAAGGGTCAGTCCTTTGAATCTGACTCTCTGCTTTCAAGAGTCACTTCCCTGTAAATGTTATGGGTTGAATTGTATCCCCAAAAAAGATATGTTGAGGGGCGCCTGGCTGGCTCAGTTGGTAGAGCATGTGACTCTTGATCTCAGGGTCATGAGTTCAAGTCCTACAGTGGGCATACAGATTACTTAAAAAAAAAAGAAGAAGAAGGAAATCTAGATGCAGGGACACATAAACACACAGGGAAGGTGGTCACGTGAACATGAAGGCAGAGATGCGAGCTATGCAGCCACAGGCCAAGAAAGGTCTGGGGTCACCACAAGCTAGAGGAGACAAGGACTCCTCCCTAGATTCTTCGGAGAGAGCATGGCTCCTCCAACACCTTGATTTCAGACTTCTGGCCTCACCGAGCCACCCACTTCATGGCACTTTTTATATTACAGCTCTAGGAAACTAATACAAGATAGAACCATCCTAGGGCGCCTGGGTGGCTCAGTTGGTTAAGCGACTGCCTTCAGCTCAGGTCATGATCCTGGAGTCCCAGGATCGAGTCCCGCATCGGGCTCCCTGCTCAGAGGGGGGTCTGCTTCTCCCTCTGACCCTCTTTCCTCTTGTGCTCTCTATCCCTCATTCCCTCCCTCCCAAAAATAATAAAATCTTTAAAAAAAAAAAAAAAGATAGAACCATCGTAGGCATGAGAAGAAAAAGAAGAAATTTACATCCATAAAGAATTTTAAATATATATGTGGGAGACAGCACAGTAAAGTGATGAGCAAAAGGACAAAACAGCTATTTATGATTAAAAAGAAGAAGAAAAAGAAATGAACTAAGGCCACTTCTCCTTTAAAGAGACGAAGGACCTCTTTCCAGAAAAGCACCAGACCAGCATGATAACCAGCACTGAGAACCAAAAACAAGGCAGCCTCAGCAGAGCCAAAGGAGGGACAGCAGTTACTCCGCACCTGAAGCTTGGAGACTCGTTCATTTCCCCTGCTCACGTCCATGGGGACTCACGAGTTTTCCTGGGGCCTCCGTTTCCCCCATGGAAAAAAATGGGAATGAGAGCCACAGGGCCTTCGCAGTAGGGCTGAGATTACTGCAAGGTCAGGCAGGTGTGGTCATGGTGCACCACAGTGGACTTGAAACAAGCACATCAGCTTTCCCCGAGGTGCCCTGCAGCTCTCCCCGATTCAGCCCTGCACACTCCTCCACTTCAGCCCCTACCTACAATGGGCCTGCCCAGCTCCTGGCCCCGTGCTGTAGTCCAGCCCCGCCCTCGAGGAGGAAGTAATTCCATATTTCTACTGTCACCCCAAACAACAGCTACCACTTATATGAAGCACTAGGATCCGTCAGGCACAGGGCGGGGCAGTCTGTGCATATTCTTCTCTACTACATACATCCCTTTGGCTCACATGCTGCCGGTAGGCAGGTATTCTCCCCATTTACACATGGATAAAGTGGGGCTCAATAACAGGCAGAGTGGGCACCCACACTGCCTCCCTTCCACACTCTATCAACTGTCCGTTTACCCCGCAGGGCAGGGGGTGGGCTGATCGGTCTCTGTCCCCCCAGCACCCATCCAGAGCCAGGCACAGTGAGGGGGCTCAGAAATGGTCTGCAGAACAGACAAAGGAACCAGCTAGCCCATCCCCACAGCACAGAAGCCAGGGCTGACTCCTTCCCAACCCTAAGAAATACTAAGCCCTTTCCCTTAGAAAAATCAATAAAGAAATACCTGATGTCAGATTGTTCTCCTGTTACTTCCTCCTAAAACAGTGGGGCGGGGGGGAAGTGAGGTTAGCAGTACCATGTAATGAACTTGGTAGGTTACTGCTTTAAAAAAAAAATCTTTTTTTTTTTAAAGATTTTATTTATTAATTTGAGGGGGGGCACAGAGGGAGAGGGAGAAGAAGACTCCCCGCTGAGCAGGGAGCCCGATGCGGGGGCTCCATCCCAGGACCCTGAGATCATGACCTGAGCCATAGGCAGATGCTTAACCGACTGAGCCACCCAGGTGCCCTCAGTCAACTACTTTCAAAACTAAGCATTCTATGAAGGAATAAAGAAGATGTGGGATATGGGGCGCCTGGGTGGCTCAGTCGGTTAAGCATCTGCTTTCAGCTCAGATCAAGATCCCAGGGTCCTGTCCTGGGATCAAGCCCCATGTCAGGCTCTCCGCTCAGCGGGGAGCCTGCTTCTCCCTCTGCCTGCCCCTCCCCCTGCTTGTGATCTCTCTCTCTCTCTCTGTCAAATAAATAAATAAATAAATAATCTTTAAAAAAAAAGATGTGGGATATTATGCAGTGGAATATTACTCAGCCATCAAAAAGAATGAAAGCTTGCCATTTGCAACAATGTGGATGGAACTGGAGGGTATTATGCTAAGCAAAATAAGTTAGTCAGAGGACAAATACTATATGATTTCACTCATATGTGGAATTTAAGAAACAAAACAAGTGAACAACAACAACAAACCAGGTGAACATATAGGAGGGGGGAGAAAAGAGAGAGGGAAACAAACCATAAGAGATTCTTAACGACGGCGACACTCGCCGGAGGGAGGTAGGGGACGGGCTAGATGGGTGATGGGGATGAGGGAGGGCACTGGTGATGAGCACCGGGTGTTGTATGGAACTGATGAGCCACTGAATTCTACTCCTGCACCCAATATTAGACTGTATGTTAACAAACTAGAATAAATAAAAATTTGAAGAAAAAAAAAGTTAAAAAACCGAAACTGAGCATCATAAAACTTAACCCAGAGAAACAGAGTTAGTTGTGTGCCGTCATGTTGACTCTGCTCGAATCCCAGGGGGCTGTCACCACCTGAAGTCTGTCAGCTGGGGAAAGGCACTCGCAAAGCAGGCAGCTGGCTAGGTTCAGAACGTGATGTGGGTCCCCCTCCCGGGGCCGGCGGGCGGGACCTTCATAAGACTGAGGACAGGTTTCCATGGGGACGGCCCTCGGTGTTTGCGCTTCGACAGCCTAGCTTCTCACCCACCCACTCGGCGACAGGAGACGTGAAGACACCTGGGACGAGGTGTTCCTGGACAGTCTTGATCCAGGGAGACAAGACAGTCATTTAACAAGCTGGAAGCCCCGGCAGCAAGGTGCCTTAACAATCCAACAAAGCTCAACTGTGGTTCTGAGGGGGAAGTGACTATTCATTCATCCAGCAGCAGATTGTGCCAGGTCTACTCCAGAAGATTCCAGATCTGTCTGTGTCTCTCCCCAGCGTCCCCACAATCCTGGACGACCGCAGCAGGCTCTGCTGGTTTCCTTAGCGCCATCCTCACCCCACGGCACCCATTCTCTGCCTAGAAGCAGACTGACCCTCTCACACGCACAAAGCAAATCATGTCACCCTGCTCATAAGCCTCCAGGAGCTTCCACTGCCCCCAGAATAAAACCATCAGTCTGCCCATTACCTACAGGGTGGACCCCACATGATCGGGGCTCCCCCTCATCTTTAGGGCTTCATCTCCAGCGCCCTCCCCACCCATCAGCCCTCTTCGGCTCCGGGCCGCCTTTCACCTCCTCACACCCAAGCTGCACCCTGTCTTAAGGCTTTGCTCTCCCCCACATCTGGCCCCTTCTCAAAGGTCAACTCTTCAGAGTGGCTTTCCCAGGGCCAGGCTCACTGCTCCCCACTCATCACACTTCACTTCTCCGAGGCACCCAGGCTGCACACGACTGTTTAGTCCAGCGCCAAATCAAAGCATGGCCCATCAACCCACAGGACCAGCGTCACCTGGAGCTCGTTAGAAATACAAATTCTTGGGCGCCTGGGTGGCTCAGTCTGTTAAGCGCCTGCCTTCTGCTCAAGTCATGATCCCAGGGTCCTGGGATCGAGTCCCATGCTGGGATCCCAGCTCAGCGAGGAGCCTGCTTCGCCCTCTCCTCCCTGCTCCTGCTCTCTCCCTGTCTCTGTCTCTCTCAACTAAATAAATAAAATCTTAAAAAAAAAAAAAATACAAACTCTTGCCCTTCCCCCAACCCCTACCCAGATGCACACTTTCAGACTATTTGGGAGCGGGGCCCAGGAATCTGTATCTTAACAAGCTCTCAGGTGAGATTCTTACCCTTGCTCAAGTCTGAGAAGAACTGATCTAGTTCATGTATTTGGTTCCCTGGTGATTACCTATCTTTGACACACATATCTCACGTCAGGAGAGCAGAAATGTTCTGCATTATTGCCTACTGAACCCCCAGCATCCAGAATAGCATCTAATAATGGCAGGTGCTCATCAATATTTGATGAATTAACAAAAATAACGAGGTGGATTCCCTCCACATACAATCAAACAAGTGCTGTTTGTGCCAAGCAGTGAATCAGGCATGGCCCAGCCCTACAGGGGCTGTCAGAGCTGCAGGCGAGAGAAAGCAGTAAACAAACACCCCCAGACTTCCACGGTTTTTCTGGGGGCCTGAGTTAGGAGATCTGGAGTTCAGCGGATCTCCACTGAGTGAGGGAGCATCTCCGGAATATCCATACCCACAACCTCAGGAGGACAGAACTTTGCCAAAAGGCTTTTCACTTCCCGGAGTTATGACTACTCCCTGACAAAAGCCAGGACAACCTTTCAGGAGAAACAGCAAGCAGAGGGAAGAAGTTACATTCATAGGGTGAGTGCACTTTTCTGGGTCCAGTCATAGAAAATGAGAGCCCCCTCTGTCCCCATCCCCACTACCCCCAAACGCTTCGGTCACTATCACTTTCAACAAAGTCCCAGCTAGGTCAGGATTCTAGGGCATTTGGTTCCTTTCCAGCTAGTCTTCCTTGAAATGGAAACAGTACCATCTTTAAAGAAAAATAAATAAATAATAGTGTCAATGAGGACTTCCGCACAGCTGATCCCCACCATCTATCTCCGCACCCCACTGGGAGACAGTGCCATGCTCTACAGCAACTATTTAGCCGTGCTTGTAATTCCATGGGCGCAGAGCAAGACCAATCTCTTTGTAATTGCCACAACCCAGCACTGAAATGTGCTCATTACATGTTTTCGTGAACAAAGAACCTCTCTGCAAACCCTAACCTGCTTACAACAATAAGATACTTTTAATTCTAGAACGAGTCCCCTGTAACGCCCCGGCTACTCTATGGGGTGCTCGGCTACCTCCGCCTCCCACCCCCTTTGGCTGACAAACAGGAAAGATGCCCAGGTCCAATCCCGCAGAGAAGCGCAAGTAGGGTGGGGGACACGAATCTGTCTCCTAACCAGAGCTGTCGCCACAGGTACACCGCACCCTGCAAAAGATGCCATTAGAAACAATACAGACTGCAAATGAATGGAAAAAGCCTAGGAACGATGAAATTCTGGGATAACCAACATCAATCAGAATGCAATTACAACGAGCGGGCAGCACAGGGAAAGTCACAGGAACTCGAAGGAAAAGCAGGGGCACAGTGGTCAGCGCAGGCTTCCTGGAGGACGCGGGTCCGGCCCGCAGCACCTGAACCACACCGTCGCGGCCGCTCACACTCGCTCGCGCATGCGCGCTCGCCCACCCAGGACCGGCCACACCCTCGTCGGGGGAGGCGGCCTCGGCGGCGGGGCCTCACCTGTGGGCGCAGAGCGCCAAGCAGCGCCGAGCAGCGCCGAGCAGCGCCGAGCAGGCGGCCCCGCGCCGCGCCCCGGCCCCGCCTCCAGCCCCACTCCGGCGCCTGCAGGAGGACGCCACCCGCAGCCCCGCGGACCGGCCCGCCGCGCGCCGAGCTGTACTTCCGGGGCGGCGCTCTGGCAACCGAAGACGCGGCCGGTGGCGCCGCGACTGCTTCCGGGGTCACATTTTCCGGGTTTGTCTCTAAGCCCCCGGCTCATCGAGCAGCGGGCGGAGCTCCTAGGGAGAGCCGGCCGTTCATCCCCGGGAGGCTCGCCGCCTTCGGGGCCCAGAAATGAGGTCGAGAAAGGTCGAGGCTCGAGGTTGAGCCTGACAGTGGGAGGCAGAGCCATGTGGTGAATCGGGCCCGGGTCTGGACCGCCCTTGGTCCCCTCTGCTGCTCAGCTTCCGTGTCTGTAAGGTTGGGACTGCAGGTAGCGCCGACCTCGCAGGGTTTGGTGTCCTTAGGTGATATCTTGTGCCCAACTGGTAATAACCAGTAAATGTAAAATCAGTACTCAAAGGTCACCTCATCTGTGAAGTGTCTCCTGAGCATGGGGCAGATCTAGTTTCTCAAACTATATTTTGTAAACCCTCTGTTAGGAAGAGGCAGCTCAGCCTCGTGAGAAATTTAAATCTGGAGTCAGACATGGATTGAATCCTCGCTCCAAAATCCGCTAGCTATGTGGCTTTAGGCAGGTCGCTTCCCTTATCTGAGCCTCAGTTTTCTTGTCTATAAATTGGGGATAACAGCACTTACATTGAAGGGTTGTTAGGAAGATTATTAAAAAAAAAAAAAAAGGCGGGGTGCCTGAGTGGCTCAGTTGGTTAGGCTACTGCCTTCGGATGGGGTCATGATCCCAGGATCCTGGGATCGAGCCCCGCATCGGGCTCCGTGTTCCACGGGGAGCCCGCTTCTCCCTCTCCCTCTCCCTGCCGCTCCCCCTGCTTGTGCGTGCTCTCTCTCTCTGTCAAATGAATAAATAGAATCTTAAAAAAAAAAAAAAAAAAGGCCCCTGGGTATAGCACATAATAGTTGCTCGAATTGTTGAAATAATTCAAAATAAAGAGCATGTATTCCGGATGTTTGTCAGCCACAAAAGTGCGCTTAGAAGCAGCATGTAAGAGGAGAAACAATTTTGCATCGCTGCTCTGATCCATTCTAGCTGTTTGGGCATCCGCACATCCCAGCCTCTCAATTACAGTTTCTCCCCAGAGAAATGGGAGTAATTATCTCCATCTCTCAGGGGCGGAAAAGATTTTAAATTCCTGGTGGCTAGCACCTAGGAAGGTGTATGTTTTACCACATCCTTAGCTTGTGCGGCATACATGGCTTTCCAAAGAGCATCGCCAGCAGCCCAAATACCAGAAGGCTTGGTGACAGCCAGTGCCAAGAGACCAACCCACAGGGAAGAGCAAAAAAAAAAAAAAAAAAGTTGTGACCAATGTGAAGAATTAACTGGGAGCCAGGTAGCCCCAGGAGGAAAAGACAGGAAACAGAGATCCTTGGTGCTAATCTAATCTTGTAAATCTAGTTTAAAACATCTTCAAGGGCTTTCTATTGCCATCAAGATAAAAACCAGACTGCTTAGCATTTTTACTTTTAAAGGAGTTAAAATATTTTAACCTTTTTCCAGTTTGGCATCTCAGTTGTGCTTAGAAAGACCCATCCTCACAAGCTGTAAAAACATAATCTATAAGAGGCCAAAGAGAAAATCAACCAAGTTAAGTGATAAATTGAAAACGTGTGCATCATATATGAAGCATTAGTTAATATCCACAATATACAAAGAGTTTGCACAAATCAATAAGAAAAAAACTTTTAATTTGGAGGAAGAGATGGAACCACAAATCGTATAACAAAAAGTAAACGAAAATGGTAAATGAAAATGTGGAAAGATGCCCACATCACTAAAAATTAAGGATACTGAGATTTTTAATGAGGTGAGGTTTTTTTAACAGATTTTATTTATTTATTTGAGAGATAGAATGAGCCGGTAGAGGGACAGAGGGAGAGGGAGAAGCAGGCTCCCCACTGAGCAAGGAGCCAATGTGGGGCTTGATCCCAGGACCCTGGGATCATGACCTGAGCCAAAGGCAGACACTTAACTGACTGAGCCACCCAGGCACCCCTCAATGATGCGGTTTTTGCTGACTAAATTGGCAAACATTTAAAATATAGTTACAGGGCGCCTGGGTGGCTCAGTTGGTTAGGCGACTGCCTTCGGCTCAGGTCATGATCCTGGAGTCCCTGGATCAAGTCCCGCATCGGGCTCCCTGCTCGGCAGGGAGTCTGCTTCTCCCTCTGACCCTCCCCCCCATGTGCTTTCTCTCTCTCTCATTCTCTCTCTCTCTCAAAAATAAATAAATAAAAAATCTTTTAAAAAATAAATAAATAAAATATAGTTACAACTAATGTTAGAAAGGATATGGAGAAAAAGCACTTGCATCCACTATTGGTAGAAATACAGTTTTTGGAAAGCTGGCAATTTGGCAGTATTCAGGGTGCCTGGGTGGCTCAGTCATTAAGCGTCTGCCTTCGGCTCAGGTCATGATCCCAGAGTCCTGGGATCGAGTCCCACGTCGAGCTCCCTGCTCAGCAGGGAGCCTGCTTCTCCCTCTGCCTGTCTCTCTGTCTCTTATGAATAAATAAATAAAATCTTTAAACAAACAAAAAAGAAAGAAAAAAAAAATTTGGCAGTATTCATTAAAATTTTAACATGAAATATATTTTATTATATACTTTGACCTAAAAATTCAAATTTTAGGAATTTATTCTATAGAAACTCTCTCACAAAGATATGTGTACAAGAGCATTTAATGCAGTATCTTTTCTAATAATAAAAAGTTGGAGGACATGGGTTGGAAAATGGTGTCTCCCACAGACGGGACAGATCTGGAAGCATCTTTGCTAAGTTTTGAAAAACTTGACCTTGCCTCACCAGATCTTTGGCCAGAACAATTACCAGGTGTCGCCGAATTCGCAGCTGCCTTTAAAAGTCCTATTACTAGTTCTCCACCCAAACGGATGGCTGAAATAGAACGTGATGACATTGACATGTTGAAAGAACTGGGGAGCCTCACCACAGCTAATGTGATGGAGGAGGTACGAGGCTTACAGAATTTGGCCTATCAGCTGGGGCTGGATGAGTGTTATTCATCTACTCTAGGGGTTGACATTTACTTGACACCCTAATCTGGTGTTTCGATGTCCCAATCCTCTTTCCTGCAATAACTGAGATGACATGGATGAAAAATAAGCAATAGGAACTATGAATCCCCAAGGACCAGTGGTCCTGTTTTCATGCAAATATCTGCACTGATAAAGATGATGGAAAGAAAAGAAATGCAAAAAATATTTGTCCTCAAAACATGATTGTCACTTCCCTAGAGCATTGTTATATGTTAGTATAGAAATAATGTGTACCGGGC